GCGAGGTCACCGCCGACTCTCTGGCCAAACAATTGTTTGGAGAGCGAGACATTGAGAAAGTTTCTGTCTGGAACGAGATGGTAACCCAGACGTGGCAGGATCTCGCGCGTTCTGGCCTAGTCACGGATCAACGTGAACTACTTTTTAAAAAAGTACTCTCCCCCAGAAACAGCGGCGTTTCTCAAAGCCCCCGCATTAAATCAAGAATGCAGTGTGGCTCTCAAAGGGAATTCTGTTATCAAGAGTGATGATTTTGCCCGCAAAAATCAAGAACAGCTTGGCAGAGCTCTTTGCGCCCTTGGCGAGGCTATTTCGGATTTTCTCTGCCCGACCAATCTCTCACCCCAGAGGTCCGTTCAGCAGTGGCTAAAGTTAACGATGGTGCCAGAATTCTGGCTGACCTTTTCCATCGATTGTCTAAATCTAGACGGGCACAAATCATGCCCGCACTCAATCTCGCAGCCAAGGACACGGCGAACGCTATCCCTTCAGATGAACTCCTCTTCGGAACCTCCTTCGGAGATCAAATAAAGAAGGTTGCAGCAATGCAGAAATCATCTAAGGAAATCATCAGAGCCCCGTTGCAGATATCCAGACGGCTTCAGCAGCCGATCTCTCAGCCAGTACGTGCAGCGCCGTCTAGTTCGGGAAATGCCCGAGCCCCTGTGCCTCGCTCGAGGACGGCATCCAGGAGGCCAGGGGCGAGCACAAATCGCCGTCCGTACTATCCCAGGTCTCATTCGAGGTCGAGGAGACACTAGTCAACGCTGAGGTAATTGTGGGCGGCAGATTGGCCCGTTTTCGATCCCAATGGGAAACAATTACTTTGAATTCAAGGATTTTACAAGCCATTTCGGGGTATAGGCTATCCCTCATCCAGCAACCACCCTCTCAGACTAGAGAACCTTCTGTTCTCTTAACCTACTTCGAGGAGCAGCGCTGTTCCCAGGAGATTGCCAGACTTTTAACTAAGGGAGCAATAGAGCCGACTGTGGACTGCGAGGGTCAATATTTGTCCTCTTTTTTCCTAATTGAAAAACCCTCTGGGGGTTACAGATTTATACTCAACCTGAAGGGCTTGAATCGGTTTATTCATGCACCGCATTTCAAGATGGAGGACTGGAAGACTGTAATTCGCCTCATTTCTCCAGGTGATTATCTTGCCTCCATTGATCTGGAGGACGCGTACCTCCTCGTTCCGGTACACCAGAACGATAGGAAATTCCTTCGCTTTCGTTTTCTTGGTCAACTCTACCAATTTCGTGTCCTACCCTTTGGCCTGGCGTCGGCTCCTTACATCTTTACTAAAATTTTAAGGCCAGTCGCATATTTCCTCAGGGTTAAGGGCTTCTCTTCGGTGATCTATCTGGACGATTTCTCCTCATAGCACCATCGTATAATCAATGCCGAAAGAATATCAGAGCAACTAGGCAGTTACTGTTATCTTTAGGTTTTCTCATAAACGTACGCAAGAGCGTTTTCAGCCCAACAAGATCTTGTCGCTTCCTTGGATTTCTTTTTGATACAACATCTTTTACAGTCTCCATCCCCCCTGACAGAAGGGAAAAATTATTCCAGAGGACCTGGGATATTCTTACCAGGGACAGTTGTAAAATTCGCTATCTAGCCAGTTTTATAGGCTCTTTGATTTCAGTTTGCCCAGCCGTTCAGTACGGCATGCTACACACAAAGATTTTAGAAAGGGTGAAATTTTTGGCCCTTACGTCCGCAGGAGGCGACTTCGAGGCCCAAATGTCTCTTCCTTCATCGATCAGGGAGGATCTCCACTGGTGGAAGAACATTTTTGCGGACAAATCTCAAGAGAATCCCATCAGATCAGGTCTCTTCACCCTTGAGATCTTCTCTGACGCCTCCCTCACAGGATGGGGTGCTGTATGTAGCAGGGGACGTTCGCATGGATTTTGGTCACCAGAAGAGAAGCAGTTCCATATTAATTATCTAGAACTTCTAGCCGTTTTCCACGCTCTTCGGTGTTTTGCGGCGCAGCTTTCAAACTCCAGCATTCTTCTCAGAGTAGATAACTCTACAGCTTTGTCTTACATCAATCGCATGGGCTCCATAAGATTTCCACTTTTATCCAGTTTAGCTAGGGAAATTTGGACTTGGTGTGCAGACCGGAATATCTTTATCTATGCTGCTTACATTCCTTCAGCCCAAAATTGCGAGGCAGATGCCGAGTCTAGGGTAATCTCCGAGGGGACTGAATGGACTTTAGAAAAATCGATTTTTTACTATAATCAATCGTCGTTTCGGGCAGTTCGATATCGACTTATTTGCATCATCTATCAATAACAAATGCTCTAGATTTGTCTCTTGGCTTCCAGATCCTCTCGCAGAGGCAGTTGACGCCTTTTCGTTACACTGGGGTGATTTTTATTTCTATGCATTTCCCCCTTTTATCATGATTTTAAAGGTTCTACGCAAAATTATCTCCGACGAAGCTGAGGGGGTGGTTGTCGTGCCGTGGTGGCCAGCCCAACCATGGTTCCCTTTATTTAATCGCATTAGGGTCAGTCGTCCTATCTGCTTCAAACCCAACATTAATATGTTGTCATCTCTTTTCAGGCAATTTCACCCAGCCTGGGACAGGATTACCCTGGTTGCCGCGAAGCTATCCGGCAGGCCTTTGCCTACAGAGGAACCCCATCCCAGGCAATAGCTACAATGCTTGCTTCTCTTTCCGAGGCTACTATAGCCCAATATACAAAGCCTATCAAGCTTTGGTGGAATTTCTGCAAAGAAAAGGGCATCATCTGTTTCACTCCGTCAGTACCGGTCTTCTTGGATTTTTTATCATCCCAGCTTTTAGGGGTAGGATCCTACGCCACCCTAAACTCATACCGTTCAGCTATATCGCTGATTTCGACGAATGAGGTAGGCTCTCACCCTCTCGTTAAGAGATTCTTTCGAGGAGTTGCGGCCTTGAAACCTCAACGCCCTCGCTACGACTACGTCTGGGATCCAGCTCCAGTTCTTAACTATCTGGCCTCTCTATACCCCCACGAAAGCCTTTCTCTAGAATGTTTATCTAGAAAGCTCATCACACTTCTTGCTCTCACTACCGCGCAGAGGATGCAGACGCTTGCAGCCATCCAGATCTCTAATATTCATTTCGCAGACTCCTTAATCATTAAAATCCCTTCGCGTTTAAAGACCTTGGGAATCGGCAGATCTCAGCCTTTGCTCTCATTTAGGCCCTTTCCAAAGTAGGCCAGAGCTCTGTTATTTTTCTCTTGTTGTAAGTTTATCTGCATTCACATCCGCCTTGCGCAGTGAAGCTGTACAGCTC